CGTTTGAACGACAATAGTAATTTTGTAAAGATGGAGTTCAAATATCGGTAGATTTTTAAAGCGGCGAGACTGTATTTCAGACCGGCACGATCGTGCAAGATGGAACAACATGGTTGTGAGACTGTTTTTTTTCGCACGGACTAGGTTGTGTTACACCGTTGCATAACTTCTATGTCATCTTTCACAGCAATGTAGAGAAAGGTGCATCAAAGCAGTGTGTATGACGAAGGTAACTTCAGAGTCGACTACTGCGTGCACATGTATGGTGAACGTGGACTAAAGAAGTGGCAGGTGGTACACACTAGCCAACCTATGTCTATACTTGCGTGCGATAAAAGGTCATGACGTCACAGGAAACCGTCATTCTGCCTCGCAGTACTCTCTCTCTCTCTCTCTCTCTCTCTCTCTCTCATATTGTCGAAAGACTTACCACTAAAGTCGAGTAATTGACAAGATGTGTGTCATGACCATGTGACTGCCATGTGGACAGAAAATGTTGAGGTCGAGGTAACGCCAGGACGACACTCTGCACTGGAATAAGTGGCAAGACAGCAAGCGAAAAACTGAGCGTTTTCAGAAATTGTGGAGAAACTGATTTAGACTGACACTGCAACCTTTGTCCATCAGCCGTGACATCTGTTGTATGACGGAGAATGAGGGGTGTTCAGATGAGCGAATCTTACAAAATGAACGAGGGGGTAGATGGCAAGTGTTATATCATGGGCTCAAAAGCGACGGACAGTTCAGAAACAGCAAGGAATGACGAACAGTCATGTGGACCAAGTGTCACCGAACCGTTGCTCTCATTGAGCAGTGAGAGATCAGTGAAGTGATGGAAAAGGATACTGGAGGACCCGTGGTATGCGGAAATGTACCAGATGATGACAACAGATGGCGTCCAATATCCTCAGATGGTGCATAAACCTTTGTTCAGTATTGCAGGGGGCAATCGGTCGAGAGGTATGGCTGCAGAGGCTGGAAAGAGGCCCGAGAGGGTGGACGAGGAACACTTGTTCCCGTTCACATGGAAATCAAGAAGACACGCCATAGCGATAATGAAACGGTACATATTGCGATTGGGTGCGATGCAGTGGCTGAACGACGCCGTAATCGATATGTACTTACATTCCGTCTTTGAAGAACATTTCCCTGCACAAGACAACACGACAGTTCATGTTTGCACAACTTCCTGGCATCCCACAGTCATCGTCAATCAGAAGGTTTATGTCGCGAAAGCAGGATGGCAGGAGCGGATCAAGAGTAGACCTGCAAAGCTGCGCCGAATAAGCAATGAACTGCGAACGACAGTTGTTGTTCTCATCCCTGTGAATCACAAAACTCATTGGAAATTGCTCTTGTTACTGAATGTCGGTCGGTTTTTGGCAGTCACGGAGGACAATGATGGCCAGAAACGACCTGTTGCAATCGTCATGGATTCCTTTCAACAGAGCGGCCGACAATAATGAAAGGCGTTGCGCACATTTTTGTGATATGAATACCTCAATGAGGCAAACAAAGCAGGGGTGTTGACTCCCGAGACCGTGGACACGTCGTGGGTGACATGCAGAGATCTACTTGGATCTAACATAGTATATGCGGAATGTTCGCAACAGACCAATACGTCGGACTGTGGTATTTACGTTTATTGTGTGGCAACTGAATTGATGCGAAAGCTAGCAAACGTGACTAAGGGAACGAAGATAACCGTAAAATACATAACAAAAGTTGTTAGCGCGACGGAGGTCAACGAACGAACGGTCGAGAGATTTCATCGGTCAATGGTACAGCGCTGTGCGCAGTGTGCTGCAATGGCAAAAGGATATAACACCGCAGTAGCGTGTGACATAGAAAATGTCTTCAGAGATGTCATAGACGGAACAGGGAGTGGAAGTTCATAATTACAAGGGCATGATAGAAACCCAACATCGAAACACGAAATTGACAACCACGTGCAATTATACAAAACTTACATATCGTAGAGAAGCCAATCGACACGCAGTAGCCAACTTGTGCATGTTACTTGATGGATGAATGCGTGATGTATCATAGAAAAAAAATGTCGTTTTTCATGTCACAACGGCAAAAAACATTCGACTCTTTTTTTTTTTTTTTTTTTTTTTTTTTTTTT